CTTTAAGGCTATGAAGCTATGTCGGTTTGTAATTCTGAAGTTATAGGTTTCGCTAGATTTCACTGTTTAAGTCCTTTTCAATATCACGTGCGCTTGGTTTTATGATCATTCCTTAGCTGTAAAAGAAACAAATATTTAAGTGATTTCTTAATGTAACTATTTCAGTTGACCGCTTTGATTCGATAAATGCCCTGAGGCCACAAGAATAGGAGTACGTAGGAACAATAAAGGAAAGAATCGTATATCCATATTGGTTTGGTGTTTTCGATTGCGCGTGTAACAACCCGGGAACGAGACTTTCATTTCCAACTTGAGCGAAACCATTACACTGATAATTTAAAAGGTGGTATTTGCACTTTGTGTTCTAATCCCAAATTGAGCCCTGCAAGGCTTTTGGGAACTACCCTTCCCTTCTAAATCGCTATTCTTTACAAAGATTGACAGAAAACTTTCTAGTTTTACTAATGTCATAAGTAGTTAACAGCTTGCATAGTTAGAGACTTGAAAATAGCAATATAGTGAGAAAAGGAATATTTTATTAAATAATTCCTAATGATCAAAAAAAGTGTTTGCTGCGGTGAAATTATAAGTTTCGTTTTGTGTCTTTCGCAAGATTGATCCATCGACGATCTGCTGATGAAAAATTTTCGGTTGCAAAGTAGGGAGAAATAAGACTCAAGAAGTAAAATATTTGGAATGAAAAACTTGAGCAATGTTTAACGGTGCAAACTTACAAGTTGAGGGATGCATCATTTGGCGAAAAGTACATGAAATTGTGAGATCCCAAAAAGTAGCCAATTCTTTCGAAAAGCAACCTGATAGTTCAGCTCAGTGACAAGTAGTCTCCCTCGCAGCCTTTTGTTTTGGATGTCACGCAACGCTCCCTCAAAAGAACGGCTGCTGACAACCGAACTACATTCCTTTCCTCAAATTGGCCAATCACAGCTCGGGATCCATTTTCAGGAACCTTTTCGCGCCAGAGTCACCTTTTGAGACTCGTCCAATCAGATATCGTTTTCTATCGCAATCCGCATGTGGAAAACACAAGAAAAATGGCGGTGCTTGAAGGAACTTTTCGCAAAGCGTCGTCAAAGTTCAAAATTTTCGAGCTTAATGCTCACCAGAAGCTTGCAAATAAAAAAAGTTTTAGTCGAGAAAGAAGATGTTTTTGTTAAGTTGCCTACAGGATCCGGGAAATCGTTAATATATCAAGCACTCCCGCTCGTGTTTGACCATGTTACCGATAAAAGGGGTCATATTATTGTTATTGTTGTACCAACGTGCGGAAACACTCGATAATTCGAGCCGATTTCCTGTACCGGTGATAAGAAGCCACGAACATAACTAATCGGGTTCGCTCCAGCTAGCAGCGGACTGGCAAATGAAGAAGTACAATTATTGTAGGAGACGTTGGCCGACCTAAGTAGCAGTGTTCTCGAAGCTTCGCCCGGTTTGTTGACGGCAAGCACGCGCTTTTTTCCTCCTGATCTCCATCTGTAGGTCGAAGCAAGCGTTTAGCCCTTGGCCTAGATTGAAAGGCGTCTTGTATTTCCTTTTGATTATTGATGTAATTTACTGTTTCTTATATATTCTGACTTTTATAATCTGTAGTAACCTCTTGAAATAGTGCGAATAAAGAGTTTCAGTTCAGTTTTTAGCTTCTTCTACTTTCTCAGTTGCTCGCTGAAACTTTAACAACCGCTCAAACAATCTAGCGTTCGTGTCGTTGGCGTAGCAGTTGACGTCTATGTTAAGCGTAGATTCTATAATTTCAACGAAATTGTGAGAAGTTTTCCCAAAAATATATACTCTATCTTTACCAGGGCACAACGATGAACATGTGAAACATTTCGAGCTCTCATCGACAAATTTCTTCAGTGTTTCTCCCGACATGATAGCTAGATCATCTGCCACATCCACATTTTCGCNTGATTCCCGATGGGAAAAGTTTAGAGACATAAGAAATAACTTGTTTGTTCAAACTGAGGCGGAATTGTTGGATCATTAGCTCCTCGATCCTACGCTTGTGGAATGTTTCTGGTGAGGAGAGAATACGCCAAGTGAAAGAATGCGATGGATTTTACCCCAAGTGTTTTGCAGGTTCAGAGGTGTGAGCAGGATTTGAATGCTCCGCAATACGTACTGCTAGATTTCTCACAGTTTCGCCAATGTAACCAACGTCACAAGAACAATCTCCTTTGTAAACAACTTTGGATCTGTGAGTGTCTTTGTCTTTGTTAAAAAGGCTTTTAATTTGCCTTGTTTGCCACAGGATTACAAAGATGAAATTAAAATTAGTGAACTTGTTGAGTTTTGTAACAAACGTGTTACCGAGTTTTTCTTTTTTACCGTAAAAAGGAAGCTTGATAAAAAGCCGTTCGAAGAGAAAACGCGGAATGATGTTGTCATCTTATGATGAGTCGTTTAGAAAGTTGATTGTATGCAAAATAAAACGTTTGGGATAACCAGCATTGATAAAAGATGTTTCAAGAGTTTTTCATTCTTTCATTTACACAAGACTTACTTTACCTTTATTCTATATTTACACTAACCAAGGTATTTATACACTATTAATTATGTAAACAAAGAGAAAAGAGAAATCAGGAAATAAGTAGATAAATAAATAAAAATTAAATTAACAACAAAGACAAAAACACTTACAGATCCAAAGATGTTTGGTAACAATTCCGCCCAAGTTTGAACAAACAAGTTATTTCTTATGTCTCCAAACTTTTCCCATCGGGAATCACATAAGATATATATGTATGTATAGACGGTGATTATTTTCAACCCTGATGATGGCAAACAGCCGAAAACGTTTGGTTCAAACATTTTAATATATTCTTTTCATGATCTTTTAACCTTGTATATAGAATATATTATAACCTTTACTATCACATATTTCATTACAGAACCTTCCTATTCTAATAGAGTTTATACGTTTGGTTCCTTTGGCTCTCATTCTTACCCTGTTTGCGAAGATTGACAAAGAAACCGTCTTGGTTGCTAGAATGATGATTCATTTTGGTATTTGTCTGATATTTTCCTTACTGGCGCTGGTACCAACTGGAGAAAAAAATGTCAGAAGACTTGAACGACTCACCAGGTAACGGCTTGCTGATTTCAATAATAGTTTATTAATACATCTTAAAAGTTTGAGAACACTTCACGGACGAGGGGCTTGGGAACTAGACACTTTGAACTGATGATAACTTAATATCTGCAACAGACATTGAGATATTTCTCTGCTCAATCATAATGATAATAATTAGGATAAAATAAACTAAAACCAAGAAGGGACTTAATAAGGATGACTTCAAACTGAATTGTACTGACTCTGATTTACCAAGATTCACATGTGCATTCCAGGGCGAAGCATTACTCAAAAAATATATTCACTACGTTCGAAATTCTCCACTCCATTCGAAATATCAGAATCTCTTATATCTTTCTAATTCTGTAAAAAAGTTCACTTCATGATATCCTAGATAGTACTTACTTATTTTCTTCACCACTTTAGCTATTTATATTTTATTCCATTTGACAGATGGTTCACGATCAACGTCTCTTCCGTACACTACTATCGTTTAATGATGAATACCACCAAAATAGGACCCAAACCCCCACCTGTTTTATCCTTGACTGACGACGACCATGTTGAAAATCTTGGTATTCTTCCCCTATTGAAACTGAGACTGGGAAATATCGTGGTAGTGGATGGAGGACGCTCTAATTTAGAGAAAGACTATGGAAAATCCTTGTTGATTGCTCTGAATTTGGCCAGGGAAAAGCTAGGATGTTCATTTTCAGCTGTGGATGGACGAGATATAGCAGAGGATATTCGTGATAACTTCGTGGAGAGGAGCCCCGGGTCACAGCCGAGCAATTACAAGTACGCTATATAAAGCAAGACAAGCTATCGGACG